AATCTAGGTTGTTTTCAGTTTCTGGCTATTATAAATATAGCCTCAATGAACATAGTTTAAAACGTGTCCTTGTGGTAGAATGGATTATCCTTTGTGTATATGACCAAGGGTGGTATAGTGGTCTTGAAGTAGATTGACCTTTAATTATCTGAGGAACTGCTGTATTGATCTGCATAGTGGCTGTACAAGTTTGCACTCCCACCAGCAGAGGAGGAGTGTTCCCCTGGCTCTGCATCCTCTCAGGCGTACCTGTCACTTGCGTTACTGATCTGAGCCATTCTGGACAGGTGTAAGATAGGAACTCAGTCATTTTGATTTACATTTCCCTGATGGCTAAGGATGGCGAACATTTCTTTAAGTGTCTCTTGGCCATTTGAGGTCGCTCTATTAAGAATTCTGTTTAGATCTGCACCCTATTTTTTAAATTGGAGTTTAAAATATATCTAGTTCTTCGAGTTCTTTATAAATTTTGGATATTACACCTCTATCAGATTTGAAGTTGGTTTTAAAAAAGCCATTTTGTAGGCTGCCCTTTTGTCTGATTGATGGTATTCTTTACCTTACAAAAGATTTTAATTTTTAATCTTCTTTTTCCAATATAGTATTTTTATTAATTATTTGGGAATTTCATACATTTCACCCTTACCATACTCATCTCCCCCCTCCCACACCCCCAGGTCTACCCTCCTACTCTTGTGTCTTCTCCTGAAAAAGAAGTAAAAAAAAATCACACTAACTCCGATTTGTGATGCCATTGTTCACCCTGGAGCATGGTCGAACTCCCAGTGGCCAGCCCTTTAGAGATGATTGAGTCCTTCCCACCCCCACCCTGAAGCCATCAGCTGTGAAGAGCTAACTTCACATCTGTAGCACAGTTTTCAAAGACTCTGCAACGGCTTCCTGTCTGGACTGTTTCTTTCTTTTGGTGGTGGTGGTGGTGGTGGTGGTGTGTGGGTGGTGTCACAGAAACCTTCAGTGTTTCTAATTCTCAAGTATGAGTCTGCAGCTATCAATTACACTGCAGAAGAAACTTCCTTTCCCATAACAGACCATGGCAGCATGGACCATGGACTTGCACCACGGACATCGGCATTGCCTCTGGTGGCTGCAGCACGGACCACGGACACTAACACAGACCCTGGCTGTAGCCAAGATCGCCGACACCATCATGGCCTTTGGCAGTGCCGTGAACCACGAAGGTCTTTTGAGGAGCCCTATCTCGGACCGATGTCCTGCTCGTATTCAGAGCCAGGGCAATGGTGTGCCCGCCAGGATCGCAGGTTCCGAGGCAGAGCCTGTGAGAGCTCCAGGCCCCTGCAAACACCCGCCTGCCATACTGTATCTATTACAACATGCTCCCGACCCGTCACCTCCTTTGCCAACAGCAGCGGCTCTTGTTCTGCCTCTCTCCACAGGAATTCTGCCATCCTTTTCACCTCTCCATGACACTTTTGTTCATCAAGGTGGCCTTGCAAACTCCCCTGTGCCACAGAGTATCTTACTTTTTATTTTTTGCCCAAACAGTTTTACATGCAAATAGTTATTGCAACAAGTCACTGGTCTTGTTCGAAGTTTCTGGTTTCTGAAGCACTATACATACTAGACTATCACTGAGACTCCTCTTGGATAGAAAGTAAGTACAATAACCATATATAATACATACAGGCAGTAAGTACATCAACATTATCTGGTCCATTTACATTAGACAAATTCAGAGAAAATACTCTATCTTACCTTGGTGAGTCCAAAATCTTATACCTAATTTACTTTCTATCCTAACTTGCATCACCAACCCAAACTATCTTTTTCTGTCTTTAAAACAGTATACAATTTACACATATTTCGTGAGTTTCTTCTCTGAACTTGTTAACAAGAAGACCTATATCTTTCTAGTCTTCAGTTCTACCAGAGCCCGAGAAGGAAATAGTATTAACCGAGTAAGCAGGAAGTACAAGCAAGCGACTTCCAAAAAATGGAACATTGGGGCATCTATCTTCAGCTTGCAGGCCTAGAATATTCGACAGACTTTGCTATGAAGCAGGATTTCTGAAGGCCTGTCCTGCCTCGTCTTGACAAGGTTTTGTAGTCACTCTCTCTTGTGTCCGGCTTGTCCAATTTTTACAGCATACTGTCAGCAAGAGCACTTTCTTTCCCAGTGGCTTCCTTCAGCCACCGAGAAAGTGAACTCCATGTGGAGTTTCTTCGATGCCCACCATCTTCTCTGAAGTAGATTGGTGCTGCCAGGAGCAGACCTGTCTCATTGTTATAAAGAAAAATCCTACGTTATTAAAACATCTTAAATGCCATACTCTGTAGATCTCTGAAATATTTGAAGACGACTTATCTACTTAAAATATATCTGTTTGACCTTGTAAACATACTTAATATGGCTACAAGTTCAATTATAACAGGTGACTAATTACTAGCCTGCATTTCCTTATTATCCTAAACAGTTGGTAATAATAACATTCAAGAACTAGAAATTTGCATTACCTTGTTAGATGAGCTGTCTGAGTACAATATCTTGAACAAGTGTAGCAATGTATATAGAGTATGTTCTAACAAAATTAATCTCAAATTTGTATCAATATACAAAATTTGTATACAATATACAAAATCCAATCTAATGTAAAATATTTCAAACTAGTAGTTGCTGTTTTAAAAGTAGATTCAATAAGCTACCTTTTTATCTTACCATATTTATATCCTCTCTTTTTTCTTTTCAGAGTAGATTAAATAATCTTCCCTTTTATCCTATCATATCTGTATCCCCCTTTTCCTATTCAAAACAAGAACCCTGAATCTAACCTCCATTACCAATAACAACTTGTAACCAATCCCCCTAAACAATGACAGATATCCATAACCCATTGAATGACTAAGAACCATCCAACTCTTGGGAATGTGGGCATCAGTACGTCTGGTTTTATGTTGAGGTCTTTGGTCCACTTAGACTTGAGTTTTGTACAGGGTGAAAAATAAAGATGCATTTGCCTTTTTCTACATGCCAACATCCAGGTTGACCATTGTTGATGATGCTTTCTTTTCCCCGGTGTGTATTTCTGTCTTCTTCATAAAAACTCAGGTGTCCAGAGGAGTGTGGATTTATGCATAGGTCATAGATTATATTATATTGATCAACCCCTCTGTTTCATGCCAATACCCTGCTGTTTTTGTTACTATAGGTCTGCAGTAGAGCTTGAAGTCAGGGATGCTGATACCTCTGGCAGTTCTTTCATTGTTCAGGATTATTTTAGCTATCCGGGGGGTTTTGCTTTTCCAGATGAAGTTGAAACTTGTCCTTTCAAGGTCTGTAAAGAATTGTGTTGGGATTTTGATGGGGATTGCATTTAACCTGTTGATTGCTTTTGGTAGGATGGCCATTTTTACTATGCTATTCCTGCAGATCCATGAGCATGGGAGATCTTTCCATATCTTCTGATACCTTCTCTAATCTCTTTCTTCAAAGACTCAAAGTTTTTATCATATGAGCCTTTCAGTTGCTTGGTTAGAATTAGCTCAAGATGTTTTATATTATTTGAGGGTCTTGTGAAGGGTGTTGTTTCTCCGATTTATTTCTTTACTTGGTTCATTTGACCTCAGGAGTTTAAGGAAAAAGTTTCTAGTGAGCACAGTGAAGATGAAGACATATTGACATAAAAAACTAAGGGAGAGCCAAGGTATTTTGGGGTAAGAGAAGTTTGCTCTGGCCTTGTCCTCACCCTTGACCCCATGGATAGTCATTTCTTAGGACCTTCAGACATCAGCTCTGATGACGTTCCTCTCATGAAGTCTGTACACATTTGGCCATGATTGACTCATGATGCTCAATATGACACAAATGCCATAGACCTGGTGCTTTAGGGGATTCTGACAGTGTCAGTCCATGTTGGTTGGTGTCTTTTGACTTTTTTTTTAAATCATAGGGTCTCACTCTATCATTAAAGTCCTGGCTGACCTTGAGCTCCAGAGGAGGTCCACCTGTTTCTGTCTCCCAAGTGCTAGAACTACAGACAGGATCATCACACTGGTTTTGTTTTGTTTTGGGGAGGTTTATTTATTTGTTTTTGAGTCGCTGTCTTACTATGTGTCCCTGGCTTCCCTCAAACTCTCTATGTAGATGTCCTTATGTGTTTGGCACAGATGCAATTTAAAAATATTTTACATATAAAGCTGGTTGAATTTGCAGATTCTAGAACCTACTGATATGATGAACCAAGAACTCATGACCTTATGAAAAATGGAGACTGTTGATGGACAGGCCATTAATGTGGATGGTGTCAAATGGTTTTGAACAAAACAACAAGAACAACCATAACCAAAGACCTTAAAAGAACCCAAGGCATTATCAGAGGAGCTCATCACCATGTAACTTAGATTGCAAGCTGAATTTGAACAGAAGGGTTATTATCCATTTATAAAGGAGAACATACCCATTTCTTTATTATTTTTTAAAAACATATTCAATATAGCATATATACTTATGTGAATGGCAGCTTTGCCTACAGTTATGCCTGTACCCTATGTGCATATCTGGTGTCTGTGGGGGCCAGAAGAATGCATAGGGTGCCCTGGACCTGGAGTTACAGACCGCCGTGAGCTACTGTGTAGGTGCTAGGAATCAAGACCAAGTCATCTGCAGGAGCAGCTAGTGTTCTTGGCGGCTGAGCCCTTAGCTACCTGCTGTGTCTTTCCATGGTTTTAGTTGTCATGCAGTTGTTACCATCGTCAGGAGGAAGAGCACACTCGTGAGAACTTTAAACCCTCCTTTGATCTTTGGGTTTTGAATTCACACCCTGTAGAACAGAAGTTCCATCCCCCATCATTTCCGCCTTTTTTGAGAGTTTCATTCATTTCTGTCTCATCTTTGAACTGAATTCCACATTTCAAAATGTACTGTACTTGACAAAGAACAATACACCCAGAAAAGGGACATCCTGAACCCTCATAGCTAGAGACTTCTAGCTAACTGTTATTTCTTGCAGCCTCCAGCCCTCTGACGTGGGAGGTGTGTGGGAAGAGCAGCCTGTCGGGAGCCACTGTAGGTGAAAGGCAAGAAGAAGAGATGGACTATTATGGGCCTTCATGGGGGTCATGCTGGGCTTTACAGAAGCCGAAGGGCCAAAGATGGCCAAGCCTGATTACAATTCTGCTTTCGTGTCCATGGCTTGAAGGTGAGGGTATTAAACATATTTTAAAATGTGTGTTTGTATGTGTGTGTGTGGTATGCATGTGTGCGTTCCTGTGTGTGTGCACTCATGTGTACGTGTGTGTAATTGCATTAAGTGTGTATGTGTATGTATGCGTGCGCTCCTGAGTGCAGGGTGTACATGTGTGTGTGTGGTTGCATTGGATGTGTATATGTGTGTGGTCCTGAGTGTAGGTGTGTATATGTGTGTGTGGTTACATTGGGTGTGTATGTGTATGTGTATGTGTGTGTGTGCGCACGCTCCTGAGTGCAGGTGTGTACATGTGTGTGTGGTTGCATTGGGTGTGCATGTGTTTATGTGTACATATGTGTGTGCATGTGTGTGTATGTACGTGCATGTGGCAGGGAAGGGTATGTGTGAACCCAAGGCCAAAGTCAGGCATCTCTGTCTCTCTCCCGGCAAACCCTCACTGAGCTCAGAGAACTTACTCTTTCAGCTAGTCCTGCTAGCTGGCTTGCTCCTGGGATCCTGTGAGCGCATCTCGCACCCCGAGATTATAGTTGGCCGCTACGCCCACCCCACATTTCCCTGGGTGCCGAGGACCTGACCTCTGGTCCCTGCACTTATTAGCAAACACTCCGCCCACTGTCATTTACCGGGCCTTGAGATTGTTAAAATTAAGGATGTATAAAGGGCCTAGTTTTTTTTTTTTTTGTGGTATGAATCTCTTCTAGAAAACAAGGCACAGTAGCAAAGAAGGTTAATAGCACAGGCTTTAGGGTGTGTTTCTCTCCTTCCTGGGGTCTGGAGCTTTGTCCTGTAGCATTAGTAATATGGCTCTGGCCAGCCACAGCACATCTCCTAAACCTGTTATAATCTGGAAACACCCGCAGTTGCACAGACCTCCCACACGGGGCACGCGTTCGGAGGTCCGCAGTCACGCAAGTCTATTGGTTTCTGATCACCCATTCTGTCTGCCGCTTTATCAGACAGGGTGGCACGGGCTGAGCCAAGCCGACCCGGCTCAGCCTTGGAGAGCCCCAATCGTGTTATCCTTAGAAATCAAATTTGGTCTCACAGGCATAGACCGCTACTGCCGAGATTTATCAGCCTTATCATTTCATCGCTTCAGATGACCCGGTGGGATTTTATTTCTCACTTTAGCAAAAAATGAGAGAACAATGCCTTCCGAGTTCCCTCTGCACAAATGAAAGAAAACAGGCGGGTATGAGCGGGGGAATGAGCGGGGCATTGCTCTGGAGCCGTTCGGGCCTTTTTGTTGGATTTCCTTGTGTTTGCCTGTCCATGTGTGAAGAGGACATAATTAGACCTGCTCCTTATTGGCCTCAGAGGAACGTTGCAGAAATCCATTTCGAGAGCCTGTGAAGTCCTCAGAGCACGGAGAAGTCTAATTACAAGGAAACATCACTGTTAGAACAGTCCTGCAGCTCTTGGCAAATTCTTCACTATGTTAGTGAAGACGTATTAGTCCGTTATTGCTCTCTTCAGTTTCATTAAGTCTCTTTGTGCTCTGTGATTTGGAACCCAGTGCCAATGTCTAAGAGGAGAGTTTGGGAATTGGATACCCAGTCAGCAATGGAGTTCTAAAACGGGCCCATGCCCTTTAGACTCATCTGTGTTGAGGCTTCAGGTGGAAAGGGGTGAGCCAAGGAAGGAATGTACAGTGAGCCGCAGCCCTAAGGTCAACATGCACGTGTTCGTATTTCTCTGATTCGCGGCCATAATGGATCACTGAATCCAGGATGGATTTCTTCAGTTCACAAATGTTTGTCTCATTCTTTGGCTCATGCACAGGCTCACGCTTAGGTGTCTTTCTTAAACAACCCAGGACTATCTATCTACTTGGCCACCCACAGTAAGCTGGGCCTTTTTCAATTAACCATCAAGATAACCCCCTGAAGACAGGCCCACAACATGCAAGTCTGGTCTGCGCAGCTCTTCCATGGAGGCTTTCCTCTTAGGTGACCTGCAGGCTTTGTAACTGGATGCTTAACGCAGATCAGGTAGCGACCCTGAGGAAAATAACTGGGTCTGAAAACAGAGGAAGGTGCTGATTGGGAGAGAAGGGACCCGTGGTTCTGAGGGGGACACACATGGGTGACAGGGAGGAGGGAAAGTTTGAAAAATGTCACTGTGCTGTTTAGTTTTGTCAAGTTGACACAAGCTGCCATCATCTGGGAAGACGGGACCAAAGTGAGAAACTGCCTCGATCAGCTTACCCGATAGCCCTTTCTCTGGGGACGTTTTCTGGATGAACGATTGATGTGGGAGGGCCCAGCCCTCTGTGGGAGGTCCCCACCCTGGGCAGATGGTCTTGGATTGCCTAAGGAAACAAGTAAAGCACGCCAAGAAGAGTGAACCAGTGAACATTCTTCCTCTACAATCCCTGCCTCTGCGCCTGCCTGACTTCTTCTGGTGACGACTGTGATCCAGGCGCTTAAGCTAAATGAACCCTTTGATCCCCAAGTTGCCTCTGGCCATGGTGTTTATCAGCACAGAAAAGTAACGAATACACTCACGATTAAATCAATCATTGGGTATGATTAATATATGCTAATAAAACATTTCCTAAAAGAGTTAGGAGAAAATGAAGTCCAGTTATCCAATCCCTACGGTGTGATTGTCAGTTATGTAAACAGCGGGGCTGTTAGAGACATACGGCGGGCACCAGCTTCCTCCAAAGTATCTTTTTTAACTATTATTAAGCTTTCATTATTTTTCCAGAAGGAAAGCAGCATCTACTTCTCGGAAATTGCGGAAATAGCATCAGCGGCGTGGGGAACGGTAAGAAAAAGCACAGGGAATGTGTGTGAGCCAGAAATCCAGAGTGAGATAATACTCAGTGCTCAGCAGAGCCACACACGTGTGAGGTGTCTTCCCTAGACCAGCATCAGCACCACTTGGGGACTCAGGAGAAAGGCAGATCTGAAGCTCTGGGGCTTGAGCCCAGCACCCAGTCCTTTAACAGTTTCTCCATGCCTACAGAAGGGGCTTCTTGGAATTAGAACCCTGAGGTGAGGAACTGGACAGTCTAGAAGTTTGAAGGACAGCGGGCGGGGCCCAGATCTTATCCCCAGACTCATGAGAGGGTGCTCATCTTTCTGGCCCAGCTTAGGACCTAGTATTTAGGGACAATTATGATTCTTCCCTCCGACTCAGTTCATTCCACATCAAATGCTCCAATGGGAGGCATTCCAACTTGTGATTACTGTGAGCTATGGAAACAAAGCTTCTCTCTGTGGCTTCACCCAGTGACACAGCCTGGGAACAGGCCCAAGAGGAGGGAACAGGGCCCAGAGGGCCTGGGAAGGACTTGATCTCTCACTTTTGGGATCCTCTTCTCTCCTTCTGCTCCTAAGACACTTTCCCTCATTGCCTTCAGAGCTCCCACTGTGAGATGGAGAGCCGGAAGCGCAGGCAATGTACTAGACGCCGGCGCAACTCCGACCCCAGGACTGAGCTGTGCTTTGACTACTCATGGCTTTTGCTATCCCACGCTCAGCTCCTCCTTCCTCAGACACATACCAATTTCTGAAAACAGAACCTGTCTTTCACTTGATATGACTTCAGGATATGACAGTGATGTATACCAGTTTCTGCCGTCAGTGGCCTGGCTCCACAGAGGAGGCCCATCCCTTCGGTCTGTGGTGCCTAGTGCCCAGCGATGCAACCAGCTCCCCCAGGTTTACAGCTGTGTGACCACAGAGCACGGTGGTCACACAGGCTTAGCAGTCACATTGGGGGCTGAATCATACTTAGGATCAGTATTTCCCAGGGGAAACACACCTTCCCTTGGGAAGCTTTGTGGCGTCTCTTTTCAATATCAAAGAGAACAACAACATAGGGTAGTCTTTAGTTCTCATCCAGGCCTTGAGATGGGTACGGAAACTAAGGGAGGAGAACCAGGGAAGAGTGGAGGCAACCACCTGAGGCACCTGGGCTTTATTCTAATATCGGTGTGTTTATGAGATGAGATGAAAACTGGAAAGAGGTCTGTGAGTGGAAGAGATTAAGAGGCTTTTGTTTACCTGGGATGCTTACCTGGGATGTTGACCTGGGATGCTTACCTGGGACGCTTACCTAGAATACTGACCTGGGATGTTGACCTGAGATGCTTACCTGGGACGCTTACCTGTGAAGGCGTAAGTCACAAACAATGCCACACCAATTCGGGGTTATGATTATTAGGGTGGTATTTATTTAAAGGGGAAAAAAACTTACAGATCACTGTCCCAGGCAACAGCCCTCTATGCAACCAGGAAAGGAGTCTAGTCGCAGGCGGAGCAGGAAGTGAAGAGAGAGAGAAGAGGGAAGTGGCCGCTTTTTTAAAGGGAGAGAAACCACGCCCCAGTGGGCTGGTACCTCAGCGGTGATAGGCTGGAGGAGTGGGAGGACCTCCCGCAACACCTCCCCCTTTTGTTTAAATAAGAGAGTTCTAAACCTACTATGAAATTATATACAATAAGTACAAATATCCTATTCTAACTAGCTTAGGTCTTGTATAATAAATAACTTGGCCAAGTCATGAGAGAAAGTAACTACATTTATATAGTCTTCAACCCCATCGAAGATCTGAGAAGGGAAATAATGTTACCTGGGTAATTAGGAAGTTCAGTAAAACAACTTCCAAAACATGCAACAAATTACAGAGACAACTAGCTACCTGGGCAATCACCCAAAGTCACATTAGCAGCGTTGAAGCAACCAACTTTGGCTAAGGCCTAACATAACTGACATACCATTTTCTAAGGCAAGCAACTTTTCAAAACTATCTTACCCTGTCTTGGCAGGATATGACAGTCCTGTTTTATCCATTGATGCATGCTCTGTATCTTTGTCAGTTGTTGAGGTATGGGCATTTCTTTGCCCAAACGCCAGTTCTGCCAAAAAGAAAGGCTCCAGGTGGAGTGTCTTTGGTGCTCAACATTCTCTCGGGAATAGAGTGGTGTTGCCAGGAGCAATTGTGTCTCACTACCACAAAACTCTGAGTTAGATTAAAGGCCATTTTCTACAGCTCTTTGAAGAAGTTGAAGATTATCTATCTATACTGAGTATAATTTCTATATATCTAAAGAACCTGATTAGTCTATTGTAAATGACAAACTTAGATGACTATTAGTCTATATAATTCTCAATATCTATCTAACTTAAAGACTAAGACAATAAACGACTGTGAAACAAATGAGGACAATGACCTCCAAATATAAACAATGTACAAATATACATTGCAGTAGGCAAATATATATCAATACACAATCATTATATAAGTATCTTAATCAGAGGTAGAAATGTACACTGCAATATGGTAAATATATACAATACATATATATATCAATACAATATATGTCAATACATAAAAAAATGTTTTAAACAGAGGTAGAAACATGCATGCGTACAATAGTCAATATAATTTAACTTTGTATCAATATACAAGAATCTATAGCAATGTATTTGTCTAAAAACAGTAACTCACAATTACAAATCTATTATCCCATCATCCCTCTTTTTTTTCTTTCAAAATGATCCCTGAGCGTATAAAATTCCTCCCTCAACCCTCAATCGTATACTAATTATAATCAACCCCTAAATGATGTCCCTAAACCCAAGGGCAAGTTTTACTGGGAAAGGGGACGTCGTCCTCTAGAATTACTTCCAGCTGTCATGGGGGCGACGTTCTTTCTGGGGGATCCTGTGAAAGTGAAATGATGGTTAAATTTCAAGATCAATGTCTTTTAAAATTGCCAATAGTCTCTGAGTATTTTGTGCAGGTCTGGCCAAAATGTTGTATAAGATGTGCACCATTTCAGCTAACCAAGTTGGAACTGTCTTGTGCAGCTGGTACCAAAAGCAGGTCTTGTAGTAGCGCTATCAGTATCATGACGTCATATCAACCAGGTGGAGTTGTTGTTATGGGGCCCCATCTTCTTCCTGGAAACTTCAAATGTCACTTCAGGAAAAACTCATTGTTCATTATGAAAAACTTAAACATTAATCATATAGACATATATAAACATATATATATATATTCAATGAAAGACATGATAGATATATTCAATGAAAAGTATGATAGATATGAAGAAAAGCAAAGATGTTTTCTAAACTCATATTTCTTTCTGTCCCATATCATGGCTCTTGACATGAGACAGAAACTCCAGAAACTCTGGGTTTTTCTCTTACTAACAGGCTTGGAATTGGAGAGGGACTGAGCCAAAGTCCAACTTCAAAACCAGCTTTATAAATTTAGAAATATGGTTTAATATTACTTACACAATCCATTCAGTTGTCTTCATATTTCCTATTGGGCAGGTATTTTTCCATCTGTCAGTATCCAAACATGCAGGGTCCCTTGAATTTCTCAAAGATGAGTGTTTTCCTGTGGAGATAAGAACAGAACCCTGCCCCCATTCTATATGTTTTTCTTACCACCTGTATGAATATCATCGTTGTGGATGAGTTGTCATTTCTCCTTTCCAAGAGGTTTCTCCTCTTCAAATCGAAACTTTATTAATTTTGATGGTATCCACAATTTTTCTTCTCCTGTGGAAACAAGAGCAAAACCCCTTCCCCAACGTAGCACATCTCCTGGCTTCCACTGAGAGGTCAGCACATCTTTGAAATAAATCGGTTGATTTAGTTCAGCAGACTTTTCCATTATCCAATGTCTTTCTGCTGCTGTCGTTCCTTTCTCATTAGCGTTAAGAAAATTCAAGGTTAATAAAGCATTATGTAATCTATTTCTGGGGGTATTTTCAGTCCCTTTCTGTTTGTTCAGCATATCCTTTATAGTACGATTTGATCTTTCTATAACTGCCTGACCTGTAGGATTATTTGGTATACCTGTAATGTGTTTTATATTATAATAATCAAAAAAGCGTTTCATTTTCTTAGATACATATGCTGGACCATTATCTGTCTTTATTTGCGCAGGTATACCCATGATGGCCATAACTTCCAATAAATGTGTGATTACTGAATCAGCCTTTTCTGAGCTCAGGGCAGTAGCCCATTGAAAACCTGAATACGTGTCTATGGTGTGGTGTACATATTTTAATTTACCAAATTCCATAAAGTGGAACACATCCATCTGCCAGATTTCATTTCTCTTAGTACCCTTTGGGTTACTCCCTGCAGGCAACGGTGTTTGATTATAGAAAGAACAAGTAGGACATCTCTTTATAATGTCCTTAGCTTGTTGCCAAGTAATGGAAAATTCTTTCTTTAGGCCTTTACTATTGACATGATGCTTCTTATGAAATTCCGAGGCCTGCAACACACTTCCAATCAATAATTGATCAATCTCAGCATTGCCTTGGGCTAGAGGACCAGGCAGACCTGTATGGGACCGGATGTGTGTTATGTACATCGGACAAAGCCTGTTCCTGATTATGTCTTGTACCTGGATAAACAATGAAGTCAACTCTGTGTCATCTGGTATAAATTCAGCGGTTTCAATATGCAAGATAACTCTTTCTGCATATTGTGAATCTGTAACTATATTAAGAGGTTCTTTAAAATCCCTTAGCACCATAAGAATGGCATATAATTCTGCCTTCTGGACAGAATTATAAGGGCTTTGTTCCACCTTACTCAATTCATCTGACTTGTAACCTGCTTTCCCTGATTTATTTGCATCAGTATAGAACGTACGGGCTCCAGTTATTGGAGCATCACGTACAATTCTAGGAAGAATCCAAGAAGTTCTTTTTATGAGATTAAGTCTATCACTTTTGGGATAGTTGCTATTAATTTCTCCCAAAAAGTTAGCACAAGCTCTTTGCCACGGT